GGAAGCAAACGAGGACGGGCTGAGAAGCTGGCTAATCAAGTGCTCTGCGCAGGTCGGCCCATTTCTGTTTGAGTGCTTCATGGTTTTCAGACAGCTGCACACGTCAGTAGACATTCAATTCCAATTTACTCGACAAGCTGGCTTACCTCGGCCCACTTCATCTTCGTCTCGACCAGATCTTTTTCCATCTCCGCCATCTGTTCCTCCATTGACCGGTTCTCGTTCTGCACTTCGAGATTCCGCTTCATGATCCGCTCCATCTCCGTCCGCAGTTTCTCCTCCACCTCGGCCGGCTGTTTGTCAACCACATTCTTGAGCTCTTGCACTTGAATCCGCAGACTCTCATTCATGTCCTGCAGTTCCTCGTTCTCAACCTTCAACCGAACCAGCTCGGATGCCAGCTGAACGTGCTCCTTGTCCGACTTCTCTGCATGCTCTTCTAGTGACCGTATTCGGGCCGCCTGTACCGCCACGGTGTGCCTCAGGCCCTCAAGCTCCGCCTCTCTCTCCTTTTCGATGCGAACCTTCTCCTCCCACTCCGCAGTATATTGTTTGATCATTTCCTGCGTCAGCGGGATCGCACAAGCATCTTGCACCATGACGTCGGCGCGATAGACCTCTTTGTCGCCTCCGGAGCTTCCAAAGAAGCCCGATTCCAAGATCGAACTAGCTGATGGCTGCTGATCAATGTAGACGTCAAAGAGCTTTTCTTTCAGGAAGGTCGACAGCGTGCTCATGTCCTTCATCCCGAGCAGCGTCTCCGCATTGCGTCGCATGATGGCAACGCCAAACCGAAGGATCGTGCTCTCGAGTCCCTCGTCAAAGATGAGATCATAAATCCGGAGAACCAGCTGCAGAGGGAATCGATACGCGAAGAGAGTGAGGAACCACTGTGTTGCATACAGTTGAGGGGTCACCCCTCTTCGGCGAAGGTGACAGTACAACGCTGGCTCGAGGTCCTCCAGCAGACGCTCGAACTGGTACAGGTGAAGATGAAGACCAGGCATATCCTGGATAAACATTTCTCGTAAACCGTACTTGTTCATCAGCTTCACGAGGAGAGTGAATGCTTCAGCCTCATCCATCTGATTGTCCGATCAGTATCAACCCTGACAAACAACAGGACGACAAGCACTTACATTAAAGAGTAAGGGCATCGCGATGAAATTGATGCCTTGCGCATAGCCAACCGCTTCGTCATATAGAGCATAAGCTTTGCACAGGCCAAATAACGCTTCTTGGTTTCCTTGTGAGATGAAATATTTCGAATAGCTCGTCCGAGAACCCAGATCCCTCCGGATAGCCTTCTCTAACTTTCGAATCATTTCGGCATCCTCTTTGGCCTTCTTCTTCCGCGCCGCCTCTATCGCAGCCTGCTCCTTAGCGAGCTTTTCGGCGTCCTTTTCTTGCGCTGGAGATGACGACCCTGTCCCGTTAGCCAGGGCCCCCGAGCCGGACTGGTCTGAGCGCACTGAGGAACGCGACGATGATAAAGACTCCTTCTCGCGATCAGTCCCATTGGCCTGTCCATTTATGCTCCCGTGACGGTCTTTCTCCTTGTCCGTGCCACGCGCAACCAGCTCTCTGTACAATTCTTCGAGTTCGGGATTCCTGCTGTCGGCCAAGACTTGCCAGATCACACCTCGAATCGTCTGGGGGATGCCCTTCCGGATCGCGGCATTCAACTCGGCGGAGTTGGCACCCGTCAAAGCTTCCGGGCCATGATTGACAAGTTGCTGCCATAACTCCCAATCCACAGGGGCTGCGGCGTCGGAAGGAGAGGCAGCGATCCCGGAAACAGTGCCTGGGGCAAGGTTCGGGTTGGTCGGAAGATTAGAAGACGCGATTGACGCCGTAGTGATGGGTGGAGAGACTGGCAAGCCGGCTTCCTGCTCTTCGGCGATGCTTGGTGGACTGCCGATTCCATGGCTGACCGAGGCACGACCGGATGCAACGCTCGCCTGGTCGTTGTCAGAAATGACGCCCTCGTCACGCATCCGTAAGAGCTTGAATTGATCCTTAAGGCTATTCCGTCCCGGCTTCTTTGAACCAACACTCATGCTGTCGGTCTCGTCGCCCTCTTGTAGTCGACCCAGCGCCTCAGAGGTGCTATTGAGTGTTGATACGGACGCGGCCGTATTTCGGCGGCTATCTGCAGGCTGCGATGGTGGGGATTTCACGTCCTTGGAGGCCGTCGATCTCGACAGCCACGAAAATGGACTTGTGAGCTTGCGAGAGGGAGCAGGAGGAGGGGGAGGAGCGGCGGAGGAGGTCGAGGGCTTGGAGGGAGCAGAGGACCAAGGCACGAAGGCATATTGGCAGTGAATCCATTCGAAGGCATAGTTTGTTTCGAAGTCGACTCGGGGGACGCTAACGACGGGGAACCTGCGTGAGATTCTTGGTCTGGGCTGGTCGCACCGGGCGACTCATCGTCTTTGTTGCCCACGAGATTGACGTCGTCCAGCGAGGTCGTGGACAGACGGTGGGCTGTCAGCAGCGGTGACTTTTGGAACTTCTTTTTTCTCGGCGTGTCCTCGGTCTCCGAATGGGGGGCGGAACTGGTGTCGTCCGTCTCTTCATTATTATTCTTGCCGTCCAAGGGTGCTGACGGCAGCGAAGGCGAGTCCCCAGCGCGGGGAGTGGTCACGGAACCATTGGAGGGTCGACGGCCTGTCAAGGAGCGTGTCGAGGAGCTGTGGGATATTGAGGGGCCTTCATCGCCCTTGAGTTCGCTGGCGTCCTCAAAAGTCTCCTGCTCGCCAGGTCCATGAGCGCTGTCCGAGAGGAGAGAAGCAAACGGGCTAGCATACCTCATCGTAGCTCTTGGGCTCCGGGCTGGATGCCATATTGAGCAGCTTGTAATGCCGGAACGCCTCCCTTGCTTCAGCACACTGCGTGGAGTGGAGGCCAGGTGCGTGACTGGATCACATTCACTGAGCCAGGAGAAGGGCCATCGACTAAGATCGGAGCGTCGATGGGCAGTGGTGCATCGACCAGCAGGCCGACAGGAACGAAGGAAACAAGCCCAGCGAACAAAACAAAGCTGGTGACAGGTCACTTTGCAGCGTTCAGGACAGGTGATTGGTATGCCGGGGCGGGAGGTGGATGGACTGGCGGTCGTTGAGGTGAGTCGGGGAGCTGGAACAACCTGTCTCCGCCCGCAGTCCGATTGGCGGTTTGTTTGATGTGTTTACGGGATTGCTACGAGAGACAGCTGGCTCAGGCAGTGTCAGTCGCCGCCACGCCCCTGACGGACTCAAGCACAACAAGAACCCAGGAGTTCTGGCGAGTTACCGGGGTCTATTATCTGCTACTGCAGGGCGACGGCTTGGCTGCACCTCTTGAGCCACCGCTCCTGCAGAATGCCTGTGGCCTGAAATGAATGATTCTGGCTCCGTGGCTTGTGGTTCCAGCCCCGGCCAGGGGTCAACTCAAGGGGCTAGCCGAGCTCCACTCCCATCGACGAGAAGACGGGTGATATATCCATCATTATTTGCTGGCGTTGCTGCGATCTGGATCTCAACGGCCTGTTGACCCACCCATGGGCATGGAGCAGATCATGATTGTACACCCTCTCATTTCGGTCTTCGATGGCACGGAAAAAGAATGCGCGTAGCGACGCAGTCTGATCATGGCCGCGCTGGAGGTTATCGACATTCTCAACAATAACGGATGTCGGATACGTGTACTGTACCCTTCCTGCGGAATGCCCCATTGACAACTCGAATGCTTGATCTGCTGATGATGCACGTACGTACATACGTATATCGGACCTTACGGTCGTTAACTACCTCTTATCGTCACATGACTATGTCTTGAGTGAATTCTCCAGATCCAACCAACGCCCTCTTCGCAAAGGGTCCAGCTTCATCAACTCGCTCAACCATCGCAATACATCGGCTTTGGCTTCGGGCGACATGGTTCCCTCGATCTTGGCAGCCACGAGGTTGCAATAGATGAGAGCTTGGTAGATCCATTTACAGTCTTCGGCTCCATCGAGCATGTCTTCAATTGCTTCCTTCTCCTTCTGGATATACTCCAGTCGCTCAGCATTGGACAAATTCGGGGCTATCGTTTGGGCTGAAAGTGTGGGATCAAAGGTAGCCATCAGGTTCTGGTGGTAGAACCACAGAGATTGGTCATACGGATCAATAAGGGCGCGGTGAACGAGTTTTAATTCTGAGGTTTTTTGTCAACACCAGCAGTTTCCACAGGAAGTACAAGGACAAGAACTCACCCTCATCGAGCATTTTCTTCCGCTCCTCGTCGGATGCCGATTTCTCGTTGAGCAGCTTCTGTATCAGTTTTGTTCTGTTGTGCCAAGCAGAGAAGTTGGAGAGATTCGCTCCGATCATCTTCGTCGTGTAGTCCAGTTCGCTCTGGGTCATGCTCTCGTCAGGCGTGAGGTCCTCCAACGCCTTCACCACAAAGCGCCGGTAACCCCAGCCATGAAAATTTCGGCTGTCAGCATTGAGCATTTTGCCCACTAAGACGAGCTCATTTTGCCAGAATCTACGAGAAACTGGTTCTGGAAGCAGGCGTTTGGCCTCATCGAGAAGCCACATCCGATAGTTCCAGATCCAGTAGCACTTGGGAAATCTGCGTAAAAGCGGAAATAGGAACTCCAGATCTGTTTCGATAATGGTCACAATCTGGTCAGCCCCAGACTGATCCGTTGACTCTGACATGGCCATCGAGAACTGGTGCTGGCGGATCAAGCGTCGGTAATTCCATATCGTATAATATTCAGGATTCTTCTTCAGGAGGTCAGATGTCTGTTGTAGAGTATCGGGAGTATATTGGCGTTCGGAGATCTGTTGAGTTAGCGGCGGGAGTCAAAGGACTACTAAGTGGACACACCCTTTGATGCACTGATCGTTCAAGTTCTCGATACTCCTCGATCTCTTTAAGTTCCCGCTGTACATCCTCGGCGGTCCTCGCTCCTGCTGGGCCCTGTCGCGGAACGCCATGCTAATAACCAGCCGTCAGCACGAGCGCGTTGAAATGGACCTAACAAGCGCTGGGAGAATTACGCTGGCCATTTTTCAAAGCAACTCTGTTCGAGAACTGGGGACGTGGTTGTCCTCGCCCAGTGTCCAGAGCACGTAATACAACGATGTTGCGTCAAGTACGATGGATTCTGGTTGCCTCCGCGGAAGCAGCGAAATCAGCATCACGTGCATCCATCCACGCTTTGTTCCTTCCCCATACATCGAGATGGGATCGTCCACGCACAACATCGGCCCGAGTTCCGCTGATCTTGGAGCTGCTGACCATCTGATAGTCATGCGTGTTGCACATCATCAGTCCGGTCTTGTATCATTCCTTCTATACGAGACTTAGACCACTTCGGATGCTAGTCTGATGGTTGTCTCTCAGGCCTGCTGCTGAGGCAGCAATGGCAATCAGTCCATGTCATTCGTTGGAGGAGCATGCCTCCTCTGGGAGCAGGATCTCTCGCCGGCTCCGTTTCACTCAATCCCACCCTTCATTTCGTGACGACTCTAATGCTCTGATCGATCCTTTACCCGATTATCCAAAACAGACAGGGCCTTATACATCCTTTAACGATTGCATTCTGGTGTCTACAGAGTCAGCAGGCCGAAATCGAGAGAGTGTGGCTGACTCAAAATCTCCGACTGGGTCTGGGAAGCGGCCAAACTCCGGGAGCACTCGAGCTTTGGTCGACCCTGTTCAAAAGATCATTCTCCCCCGGACACCTGAGAAGCGGCCTAGGATAAGGTGTTTTAGCGCTGGGCCCCTAGGGCACGCTCCAAGGGTGCCTCTTTGCCCTGATCGCTTTATACCGGAACGGCAATTTTCTGATGCTGCATCTCCGTTTCGCCTTAGCAAACCTCCACAATATTTGTCGCCTGAAGAGAAACTACTGCGACGACGGGACAGACGCGAGGATCCATTTAGATCGCCACGTTCTCCGAGGGTGATCAGCTTTCCGAGGCACACTGACTATCATCAGCGCAGACACAGCCCTCATTTTATGCCGCATTTTGTGAATGACCCAGCTCTCTCAAGACATGACGATCTTTTGGAAACCAGTGATATGTTCAGACAAGTCAGTACTGGAGCCGTCTGGAATGTCGGAGGACCGTCTGTTGCGACGGGTAGCCGACCTCTGGGGATCCCTGATGGAATGGGAGGTTTCTCAAGAAGCGGGACCACCGCTCCAATGCATGTTGCCAAGTTTTTCGACAGAACTTCGCCTCCAGAACAATATAAGATGCACGAGTCAAGGCTGGCACTCGCATTGGATATTGACCTAGCAAACCGGATGCTCAGCTTCTGGAGACTTCCTACTCAGCCTGAGTTCAAATTCAGCCCTTCATCTCCGCGCTATGAGCAATGTTGCCCTCTGACGTGGAAGGATAATGCTTGGAAGAGGGCCGAACGCGCGGAGGGTAAGTGTAGATCTTTTCTTTGCTTCCAATTTGACCGTACCCCGTGTTTTGATGTGAGATTCTACGCTTAAGCAAGCTAAACATGTCTGATTCATCCATATCCCTGCTCAGTTTCCTAAGATCTTCTGCGTCCTTTCCCCTTCCCCTTCCCCTTTTTTGTCAGGATGAAGAAGAAAAAAAAACACGGTGCAGGGCGAATGCGAATATCTACTCTCTTTTAGTTAATGGTAATTTGAAACGTCCTTGGGAACTTACAGTTATTTCACATATAAACTCATTGCTGATGTCAGAGATCCTTAGGGTCAAACACTGCTTCTAAAGCCGTCCATCCGGTGTTGCCTGTCGTCCCATTTCGGATACTTGATGCTCCCTTACTACGTAATGACTTCTACTGCTCCATTCTTGCCTATTGCTATACCTCTGATCTCCTCGCTGTCGGCCTTTGTAGCAGCGTTTTTCTGTGGTCCGAAGCTCACGGGCTCGAATACCCACCTTTTCCAGACCAGCCTATTGAAAATTATATAACGTCCCTTTCCTTTTCCTCTACAGAGGGTGGACGGAGCATCCTTGCTGTTGGGAGACAAAGTGGCCAAGTGTGTTTATGGAGCACATTCGAAGACGCAGTGCGCTTTGAGACCACACATCCAACTCCGGTCTCTTGCGTGGCATTCAAGCAGGTCACATCTCGCCGGCAATCAACGAGATTTCACGGAATCGAAGTGAGCATGGAGGATCTTGCTGTGGGTGATGAGTGCGGTTATGTGTGGTACTACTCCGTGGAGTGGCCAGACTATGGTCCCGAGGAATCCGATGACTGGGATGGTACAATGACGCTACTAGCCAAGATTGCTGCACACAAGCAGCAGATTTGCGGCTTGGCCTGGTCTCCTGATGGCATTTATCTTGCAACCGGTGGAAATGATAATGCCTGTCTGTTGTTTGATCTTGGAGAAGTGCTTCATCCACATCAAGACACGGTCCTGGAGGACTCTCATTCAACGGCGTATCCGTCCTTTTTTGGATTCCAGCCTCCCAGAGCCCTATCCCGTCTAGCTATCTCTGCACGACTGGGTCGTTATTTTGGCCGTTTTCCGCGTTCACTTTCAGGCCATCCTTCCACCCCGAGATCTCCCAGTGTTCCTAGCTCATCTGCTGTGGTCACTGCGGATATTGGATCGGTTTCATCCGGGGGTGGACACACAATCTTCGTGCCTTGGAACCGCCAGAAACACCGACTCCGCCATTGCGCCGCTGTCAAGGCTATCGCTTTCGCTCCCTGGCAGCCATCCCTCCTGGCCACCGGCGGAGGCTCAAATGACCGGTCTATCCATTTCTATCACGCTCCATCTGGAAGCTGTCTGGCGACGATTGACGTCTCTGCCCAGGTAACCAGTTTGATATGGAGCAAGACTCGACGGGAGATTGCTGTAACTTTTGGCTTTGCGCAACCGGAGCACCCATTTAGGATCGCCGTCTTCGCATGGCCAAGCTGCGAGCAGGTTGCTGCGATCCCCTGGAACATCAACGTCAGTGGTGTATGGGATCCTGAGACCGATAACAATATCGATTGTGGGAGGGCTCTCTGGGCGATCAGTCATCCTGGTAGTCCAAACAAATTCCTATCGGGAGCTCTACGACATGAGCGGGTGGACGATACAGATGTTCTACCTGTCAGCAACGCTGATGCAGTGAGTGCTGCTGGTGGCGCTTCAGCTCCGCTAGTCAGCAGCGGGACCACTACCATTCGTCATGGTTCGATCAACTCCACGACCTCAGCAACAGCACAGAGCAGGGGGAAGAAAGATAAGGTCTGGTCTCGGACAGCGGAAGAAGGCTGCATCGTTGTTGCAGCGAGCGACGAGAGCATCCGATTTTACCAGGTTTGGAGCGATAGCACAAGAAATATTGTCAGAGCCCGCGGCCTGCTGGGGCACAGTGCTATCCTGGAGGGACTTGAAGGCATCGAGAACCCGGGAAGAGAAGTCATTCGATGAACATGGCCCAGCCGGAGTCGGCACCTGAATGGATTCTAGTCCTCGGGGCGATCATGCTGCTCATGAGTCACAGGTCATGACTTTGGGTTTACTGGAATATCATTACACTATGGAGTGTTGGCAGACGCTGGATCATTGGCGAACAGTTCTTCTTATAGGGTTCTTGTATGGTGTACATTATTCTTATTCGCTTTCTCGGAAAGAGGTACTGCCAGTGATATGTTTCTTTATTCTGTAGATATGTAGTCTGATTCCAGGGCCCGAAGTACTCCGTACTCCGTACTCCATATCACGACGACGTTGAAGATTGGCAAGACTAGAGACGCGCGGATCGACGACCAGCTTCTAGATGGCTGGCTTGGCATTTGCTAGTAGGCAGGGGCTTCTTGGCTCTAATTTGAGTTTATTTTGTCAACGACACAACATTGCATATCCGCACGGGGGATAAAAAAACTATGATAAAAAATAAAGAATTAACCACCATTTGATGTGGCTTGTAGAAGATAATCATTAATTATTACTGTGGAGAACAATAACCTGGGGTTTGGTTGCTTGGATGGTTGTTCCATACTTTGATACTATCTGCAAGGGCAGGGGTGTCTGTATATATATGTATATAAAAATAGCAAGGGCAATTTAGCGGGTTCTGTGTATGAGCTGGGACGCCCGTGATTTTGGGGAGTAATAATCATGGATTCTATACTCATCGGCCTTTTCTTTTCTTGACATTTATTGTGGTTACTTTTCCCCTCATTTTTTTTGTGTTGGCTTGCTGTATTATCCCGCTTTAGCAACCGCTCACCTGCACATGTAATCTGTAGGTATTATTGCCATCATATTATTATTGAACTTTTGATTCATATTTAGTAAATAAACAAATAAAGATGTACAGTTCCAAAGATCGCTGATCTTTCCTTTTCTTTCCTTCCTTTCTCTCCTCTTCAACTAAGACAGGAAAAGAACGGGGTGGGACAACATAACCTTGATATCGCAGTATCGCAGCTTTCTGGTACTTTTAAAAGGAGACAAAACAAAGGACAATAAAAAAAAGGAATACAAAAAATAACTCCCTATGCAATAATATGCCGTTGTGCCTAACAGCTAGCAAGCAGCTAGGTATGCAGGATGTAGGCTAATGCTAAGGTGAGACAAAAAGAGGTATAATTTCATCTATCCCACACCGAATAGAGAGAAACAAGAACAGAAAAAAAAGCAGGAAAAAAAAATAATTGATGATAAGTCCCGACACACGTATTGTTTACGCTGTCTATCGTCTACCAGATGCTTTATTTCCTTTACCACTCAATTTTGCCTTCTTCGATGGTGGAGGGGACTTCGTCGCACCATCATCATCATCCGCTTCAGACAGCTCCTCTTCCGAGTCGGCGATGAAATCAACCAGGGAGCCGGCGCTGCCTTCGTCCGACTCTTCATCCTCTTCATCATCGTCTTCGTTTTCTTCAAGCGACTCCTCCGCGTCCGACGAGCCGACGGACTCCTCGGCTTCGATGTCCACCAGGTTCTCGTCGTCTTCGGCCTCGTCTTCGCTACCTTCCTCATCTTCGTTGTCGGACTCGGGACCTGACCCGATGCCGTTGGGAATCGCATCGGCCTCGTTTTCATCAGTGAGCATGCCGTGAGTGTCGCGCATCGATTTGGTGCGGGGCGTGATTGTAGATGCCTTGCGTCCCTCCGCCTCACTGTCATCATCCTGGCCTTCAACGTAGATGATGTCTTCGTCGTCCTCGCTGTCCATGCCGTCCGCGCCACGATTCGCCGTGGACTGTCTCAGGTTGAGCTGTGCATCCAGCATATCGAGCTTGCCCTTGAGCAGGAGGAGGGATGGTAGGCTCGAAGAGCGCTGGTCCATGACCTTGTAGAGAGCAGACATCCGTTTCAGGATATCAGCCTTCCCTGCAATCGCCCCTCCATGAGCGATACACGTCCACTGCACCCAGACAAGGAGGTGCCCGTAGCGGCCAGGCCGGGCGGCGAGACGTTCGGCGAGTCTCTGCAGCAGTGTCGCCGCCAAAGACGAGTCGAGGCGCTGGATAGTTGTGCGGATGATGTTCAGGTCTCCCGTATGGAAACATGACTCCAACATCTCGTTGTCGTTAGTCTTGAGGGCTTGTGTAAGAACCGTCGAAAGCGAGACGCCAGATGGAATCTGGGAAACAGTGTTGGCCTTGCCAGGCACTAGGGGTCCGGCACCAGCGTCATCTTCCAGTTCTGCCTCGACATCTATGGCCTCAGTAGCATTGGCGCGAAGCAATTCGCCAAAAGAAGGTTCCGCTCCTTCATCACCCTCCTCTTCAGCTTCGGAGGCGCCAGCATCTTGCATCTCTACATCCTTATCTGTAGAGCCTTTCGACTGAGCTACCTGCCGTTTCTCGCTCACTTTCTTGCTCTCACGAGACTCGGCCTCCTCGTCCGATGCTTCCTCCTCCTCACCGGATATTGAAACGGCATCATCTCGTGAATCATTCATTTCAACATCATCAGCAAAACGTCCTGTGTCAATCACGGCATTGGTCTCATCGACTTGAGTCTGACCAACTTCTCGAGCCTCATTTACGGTCGCAGAGCCTAGCACAGACGCAGATTTGCGCGCCGTAACTTCCTTAGTCCCCAAAAATGCAAGCTCCTCTGTATCTTCGTCCTGCCATCTCACCCGCTCGAAGATCACATTGACACCTCCTTCAGCCCATGCAATGAGAAGTTCTGGTCCTTGGAATTCAGTTTTTACTACTGACACAAGCTTCCCGGACTCTGGTCGAACGATCTTGAGATGGGCATCTGCTTTCCGAGTCATTTGCCTTGCCTTAGCCTTGAGGCTGGTAGTTTTTGAACCCTCGGACTCGCCGAGCCGCAAGAATGGTTTTGTGAAGAGCTCAATGGTACCGTCTTCCACTACAACAGCAAGAATTTGCTTATCGAGAGGAACGGCGTTTTTGTCGGACTGTTTCCCAGCATATAGAGATAGTGAAGACACTTCCTTCTCTGCCACCAAATTCATCACCAGCCCTTTTTTGCTTGGATCAAAGATATTGACGTAACGGTCGGCGTCCGACGCGAGGAAATGGCCGGCCATAACAGAGTCCGTAGAAGACGAAATGAGGGTGTGAATTGGGTTCCGCATTGCCGGAAATGATAGCGGTGGTTCGTCTGACTTCTCAACATCTATAATGTAAGGTGTCTGTGTTGCACATATGACTGGAGGATTGGAGGGAGTTGGTCTGGAGAGTGCTGTGACAACTGAGGTCGTAGGTAGATGTACCGTCCTAGAATGGTTTAGAAAAAAAGAATAACATCTAAGTCGTAATTTGTATGTCTCACCTGATACTGCGCCCGGTCCGCAGATCCCATTGAACAAGTTTGTTATCTCCTCCAATACTCCATCCCTCGGCCGATGTCCGTCCCGCCGTGAACTTGAAATCCTTGATTCCTCCATCATGTCCACCTGATAGAGTAGCAATCACCTTGTCCTCTATCGGGGAGTACATGCGAATCTCTGACGTCGTAGTGCCAAAGGCGACAACAACATCACCACCGTCAGCACCATCAAGTGCGCCATTGACGCCGGAGTTTCTCTTCCGCTTCTTCTTCGACTGCTGTTCACGTTCTCTCGATCGGTCACTGTAGTAATAGCCCCAGTCCAGCGACGTTATGGCTTCCTTGGGAGCCACCGCATGTTCGCACTGCAAACGTCCAGTGTTGATGTCGTGAATGCGGAGATGCTGCGCATCAAGGCCTTGGATAACTGATGCGAAGAGAGCCAATTGATATTCAGATGGTGAAAACGCAGCCCGCAACACAGAAGACTTGTTGCCGGCGACTGTCGCACCTGATGCCGCGGGGGCTGATGCGGAGGAAGTTTTCGACGTCGGCGGGCGGGAAGCCTTTTTGTTTCCCATTGTTAGATCGAGTCAGAGAGACTCAAAAAAAACAGGCGACACGGGAGGGGAGTTCTAAAGCAGTTAGAAAAACAATCCCAGTCCAACTGCAGAGGAGAACGTCCCCGTTTGTTGCGTGTCGATTGCGTCGCAGCCTGCAAAGTCGCCGGCGATGGTCTTGTGAAAAAAAAGTTCTTGAGTTCTGTATAGGCGCTTGGCCCGTTGTGGTCTAGCCCGTCTCGACAAGAAGATCCGCTCCGGCTGCCTTATCTAATCATCCTTTTAGTTCTGTATGCTCACAGCCTACAGGCGGAAATTCGTCTTTATTCATCAACCCTCTTGCTATTCCAGGATGATATCTACTTGCTATCCTCCTTGAATTGGCGATTCTCATTTCGATCAGTTGATATATGCTTCTTTTTCTCTTCGAGGTCTTCGCAATTTTTCTGACAACCTGCGCCATCTACGTTTAACTAGCTCTCTAGTCGAGGCCTTTTCTTTCTATTTTTTTTCTCTGCCGTTCTTCTCAATCGCCGAAATGGCATCCGTCAGCGTCTCTCTCAGCTGCTTTTTACTTTGGCTTCGTCTGATCTGATGGTACTGCCAGCACAGCTGTTCATGATGTACTCCGTACATGCTCAGCTCCCGGAAGAGACCTGGTGGTGGCAGCTTGGACGTCCAAGCGGACTGTTTTACGCTCTCATGGGTGAGTATATATATTATTGAGCACCGAGGTACGGAGTAGCACGACTAATCTGTTTGCCAGGACTAATCGCATGGTTGCTACGAGCATTTGCTGTTTGCTACAGCCTACGATGCATATCGTTGAATACGTATCCTGGTTTGGATATTCTCTGCACATTCTTGCGTCTGAATATGTGAGTGTCTCGCCTCAGAGCTGTTGAAAAGCAGCTCAATGCATCGACTGCCAAATCAGTGTTGACCTGGGGCGTGGAAATTGGAGAGCTTAGCAGCTCGTGTGCCAACGGCCGAGGCATGGATCGGTGGAGTCAGCGAGAGGCGGAGTGAGTGGAGTCAGTGCGCGAGCACTCGGACTGCCGAATTCTGATTCCTCCGACGAGCCGTGGATGTGGGTCGCATCTTGCATCAGTGTGACAGGCTAGTCCGGATGCGCTGCAAGGAGAGGGTTCAGGGTTGAGCCCTGGGGTTTGCCTGATCAGTGGACCAGGTCCCAGCCCCCCTTTTTCTTCCCACCATCACCACCAATTTCCCTACTGCGCTCCTCGGTTGCCACGGGTTTGTCAGGATCAAGACCTGGGTGGCTGTCACCCAGTGTGTGACACTGGCCAGCCCTTTGTGACGGTAGACAGGTTGGATCGTAGTTTTCCGGACTAAAAAAAGGAAGAACAAGAAGGAAGGCAAAAGAAAAACATGAAAAAAAAAGGAGAGTAGGTGGCTGAGGCCCACTGCAGCGTGCCGAGTAACAGACGAGTCCTGCTCTCGTTGTTCCCTCCGTCCCTCTCTCGCGGGCCCTGTCGATTTTTGACCTCAAAGACTTTGGGTACGAGCTTGGGTTTAGGGATTCCGCTTTCGGATGGGTGCGGCCAATCAGGCAGCGGACGCGACATAGTGCTGCGGGCGGCCACCAATCAGCAGCGGCTAATTGGCCTGAACCAGGGTGATCCGGCCTAGTGCGCGCAACGGGGCTAGCGGCAGGCGATGGGCGAGCGCGACGAAGGCGTTCGTACTTAAGGATTCTAGCACCCCCTCCGATTTTCTCAGTGTCTCTCGTCCTCGGAGCTGAGTTGCGCTGCGCCCGTGCCGACAAGTCACGTCTCGCCTCGTCTCTTTCCTCCTGCGGCCGGCCCCCTTGTTTTTCCCACTCTGTGTCCTCGGTTGCCTAGACCTAAATAATTCTTGACGCGTCTGCCATCACCCGTGTCGCGCACGCAACGTGTCGACACGCCCTACCCCCGACGTGTGGCTTTTATCTGCCGCCGTTCCCATCGCGACCGC